TATATATGTATATATATATATATATATATATATATATATATATATATATAATATATTATATCAAATGTATATGTAAATATATATATCCTGATATATATAAAATTTATTATATTATATTCATTTTTAAGAAATTATATAAAAATGTGTATATATGTCCTAATCACGTAATCAAATAAAATTATTCCTAAAGATAATAATTCTTTTATGTATTATATTTTCTTTTTATGTATATATTTTGCAAAAACACAGATAATATATGTCATCTCCATAATTATTTTTGTATTTAACAAATGATTAAAGTAGGAAAGATGAAAAAAACTCGGTCACGCAGACTTTGATCCAGTCAAACTCGAAATTATGTACGCCTACGCGTTATAACGTAACGCAAGTATGACCTACATATTTCTTTGACACCTTTGGCGCACGGGACCATGTTTATCAGTATGGCCAAATGTGTCTTCATTATGATGCAAATTTCGCAACATGTTACACATATCTAGCTACGTGATACGGAACGTCACGCGTCGAAATCGAGAAAACGTCGGATCTGTCATCAATCCATAGACCGGAGTTAGAGTCGAGTCGAGACGGTACCGAGACAGACCGACCCACAGGTGACACCATATTTACCCCAGTGTTGTAGCCATTGTTACAATTAGCCTAGATCGCGCTGTACCCTTCGTCGTACGCGTGTTTACCATGATAAGCAGCCGAACGTTATTGCTGTCATTCGTCGTGTATCGTACGCGGCACGATAACGGTGCGTAATTTATACGCGCGTACCTGGCATAAGTGGAAACGCACCTTGCTGGCCGGACCTTGAAAGTTGTTCGATTGACACCACGATTGATATCACACGCGATACTTAATCGTTATCCCTGTGTAAATCGCTCGTATTTGCGAAGAGTCCGTCGCGCTCACTTTACTCTCATCGTCGAGGTGATCGTCGTGTGCAAACTATACGCAAGACAGGACGCACATTATTTGACTTACCTGCACATTAACATCGTTCACAACACGCACGCCATATTGGACACGACTGCTCGCAGAGCGCGGAGGAGGAAAAAAAAACATCACGCGCCCTCTGCACCGAAAGGTGCTTCGTGCGCGCGACCTGTATGCCCCGTGTGTACATGTATGTGTGTGTATATATGGTGCGTATCCGCGCACTCGTACCTGGGCGCACATGCGTGCAAACGCCCACTTCGAATACTTGTCATGAAAAATACGACGGTAATCGCCTTACGTTTCGCTTAATATAGCCGCAACCGTCACGAGTGCCGTTGGCTTGTTACGACGAGGAACGCGTGAAAAAAAAACCCGTTATAACGCTGTACGCCAATAAAATAAATAACGAAAGAAGCGTACGCTAAAATATCATCGTACTTTAGTAATGAAATCAATTTAGTCTGAATACGCAGCAAATCTTTGATGATTTTTTTTTATTATCTACACGTTCATCAAAGATTATATTTGATAGCAAGTTTTACAAAACAGTTTATACTTGGAGATTGTTGAATGCATAAAATATTCGTTCGTTCTGTTATATAAGAGTATACAAAAATTCTAAATTTTACACAACTAAATTTTAATTCACTTATTATAGGGATGTATATAGAGAAATATATATATATGTAATTTACAATTAGATTAAAAGTTTATACAGTGTATCTCTCTCTTTCTCTCTCAATATACACAAACACACACACACACACATACATATTATTACTCATTTTTATTTTACTTTGGACACAAAAATGTTTATACTAACACTAAGAATAAATGGATTAAAAAACATGTGCACATATAATAAACAAGTCTACTGCTTTTCTAAAGAAGGTATATATATATATGTGCAAATTCAAGTTACTATATTATAATATAAATAAATATTTAATATAAATAAATATCGAATTTGATTTGTCCAAAAAAAATATAACTATTTTGTATAGAAATTATGCTTGTTTTATAATTAATTACAGACAACTAAATCTTATATAGAAGGTATTAATATCCGTAAAGATGTATTATACACTGCAAAGTATATATTTGCTATTCTCAAATGTAAAAAATAGATCATATTTAAGAAAAGCAATTAATACTAGTTATATATACGACAATTATTTGATATTGTCTTTTGCATTCTTTAAAATGTCTCAAGGATTTAAATTTAATTTGACAGCCTCTTGACGTATCACAGAAATCAGTTCTTGATTTATTAAAAATGTGAATCTTAGTCCTGCAATCTGTGAAAGAAACATACACAGAAACAGTGATTAAAAATTAAATACATTTATTAGAAGAATATCTTTTTATTTGGAATCTACACAAACTAATTCATTATGTTGGAAAAATCATAGTAATTACCTCAATTACACTATTATTATTCAATTTCATCTTATTGCCAGCCAAAATTGGTCTGCTATCCACAAAAATTGGTCGTTTTCCTTCAGATGACAAAAAAAAGTCTCCATTATTCCTTAAACGAATGGTACCTTGTCGACGTGAAACTTTCCAAGCTGGACCTTCTAAACTAAGATCCACATCAACAGTGTGATCCTTTGTAGAACGTCCTACACTTATCTGAAAAAAATATAAAAGAACAAATACAAAATGTAAATTATATTTTACATAAATAAGAGAGTGTAATTAGAAAAATATATATTTATTTTTCTTACCTCTCTAGATCTCATGAGATATCTGACAAGTCTTCCTCTTAGAATAGCTAAGGTTTGATTATCAAATTCTGGAGGATTGGTGCCTGTTACACTGTCGACGAGTACTTGCCATCTACCAAGCTCGTTTTCCAATACTTTAATTTCCCTTTTATTCTTTCTGTCTGTTGTTGCCAATTCAGCATCTATTAATTCATCTTTCGGTTCCATTAATTCGGTATCATTAATCATATCTTCGGCATCTGAAAAGTTCAATACATGTTCGCCTCGTGGTAAACTTTGCACTGTCTGATCTGGTAATAGATGATATTGTTTCATTAGCAGCCAATGGGTGTGTAATGCTTTCGCAGTTCTAGCTGGATAAAATGTATGCGCATTTGCTTCAAGTAATTCTTGAAATACTTCTGGCGTTGGTTGAGAAGTCTAAGAAACAAATTAAAAGATTATATTTTTACAATGATACAACCATATAGCAATGTCGAAAATTAAATCAGTGACTAATTTAATCGCTTGTTAATATTTTCTATACATACCTTATTTAAGATATTCAATTAATACTCACTGATTTAATAGTACCCAGCAGATCCTCTTCAGCTTTGCTATACAAAGTTCTCGCTTGTACACTGGCTATCAATTCAGGATGTAAATTACGCATAGCTTGCACAGCTACACGTGAAACTGCACTGTCATACAACAGTGCATACCATCTTTGTTGTATTTCTTGCAATGTAAAACGGCAGGAAAATTTTGTACCTCGATGAACCTTGAAACAGAATATCAGAAATATTATAAATACATTACCTCGTTTTTTAAATATTTTAAAATAAAATAAGAAAGTTAAAGAGAATTAATATCAAAATATTTAATTAATTAAATAAATACCATTCTCAAATCATTTGTTTGTTGTACACCGGTAATCAATGCTAAATCATCAGCAGGTTTCCATCGTCCAAGATCTTTAGTAGCATTGATAGAATGGGAGTGATTTTTATTCTTTTTGTTTTTTCGTCCAGGATTTGAAC